AGCACAGAGTTTTCCAAGTTGGACCGCTAGTCACATGAAGATGGGGGAAGGGAAACTGAGCAAAATTCAAAGGCCCTAAAGTGAGAATTACCTTGACATATTTGAGAAACAGAAAAAAGATGAGTGTGGCTGTAGCATAGTGAGCTGAGAGGAAAAATGTTAGGTTAAAATATATTCCAGCCGGGCTCGGTGGCTCAGCCTGTAATCCCGCGCCTTTGGGAGGCTGAGGTGAGTAGATTGCCTGAGCCCGCGGGTTCAAGACCTGCCTGGGCAGGGGAGACCTCATCTCTACAATAAATCAAAAAATTAGCCGGGCGTGGTAGCGCATGCCTGTAATTCCGGCTACTCGGAAGGCTGAGGCAGAAGGATCGTCAGAGCCCAGCAGGTAGAGGCTGCCGTGACCGGGAGCGGCTACTGCACTCCAGTCTGGGTGACGGAGTAAGACTCCAATTCAAAAAAAAAAAAAATTTGTATATATATATATATATTCCAGCAGGGTCTCTAAAATGTTCGGTCAAGTCCAATGAGGGGAGTGTGTGCCATCTGGTGCTGTGAGAAAGATGCAAAAAATTGCACAAAAGTTAGATTGGAAAATATAGTTTATTGAGAAAGTAAATTAGAGAGAGAGAGAAGAGATGCACCTCCTCAAGGGAGGGGAGAAGGTCAAAGCCAGGAAACATGGCGGCCATATCTCAAAGAGCCAGGTGGACACACCAGAGTTTAGCAAAGCAATGGTCACTTTGGATGTTTCAACACATTCTTCACATTCATTAAGAAGGAATTTTCAGCTGGGCATGGTGGCTCACACCTGTAATCCCAGCACTTTGAAGGCCAAGGTGAGAGAATTGCTGAGCCCAGGGGTTCGAGACCAGCCTGGGCAACTTGGTGAGACTTCGTCTCTACAATAAATCAAAAAATTAGGCTGGTGCGGTGGTGCGCAACAAAATTACTTCTGTCTTACTAGACGGAAGTGCTAAACATCTCGAGTTTTCCCTTTAAGAGCACAAAATTAGGCCGGGCCTGGTGGCTCACACCTATAATCCAGGATTCGAGACCAGCCTGGTCAACTTAGTGAGACCTCATCTCTACAATAAATCAAAAAATTGGTTGGGCATAGTGGCATGTACCTGTAGTTCTAGCTATTCGTTAGGCTGAAGCAGAAGGATCTCCTGAGCCCAGCAGGTTGAGGCTGCAGTGACTGTGAGCATGCCACTACACTCCAGCCTGGGTGATAGAGTGAGATTCTGACTCAAAAAATAAAAAATAGGCCAGGCTCAGTGGCTCAACCTGTAATTCCAGCACTTTGGGAAGCCGAGGCAAGTGGATTGCCTGAGCCCGCAGGTTCGAGACCCACCCGGGCAACTTGGCGAGACCTCGTCTCTACAATAAATCAAAAACTAGCCGGGCATGGTAGTGTATGCCTGTAGTTCCGGCTACTTGGAAGGCTGAGGCGGAAGGATCACTGGAGCCCAGCAGGAGGCTGCGGTGGCCGGGAGCGGCCACTGCACTCTAGTCTGGGTGACAGTGAGACTCCAACTCAAATAAATAAATAAATAAAAACACAAAAAGAAGGCTGGGTGCAATGACACACACCTGTAATCCCAACATTCTGGGGGCCAAGGCAGAATTGCTGGAGACCAGGAGTTCAAGACTAGCCTGAACAATACAGGGAGACCCGTCTCTACAAAATCATTTTTAAATTAGCTGGTGGGACCATAAATGACGTGCACCTATAGTCCCAGCTACACTGGAGGCTAAGGCAGGAGGATCACATGAGCCCAAGAGTTCGAGGCTGTGAGCTATGATTGCACCACTGCACTCCAGCCTAGGAGCCACAGTGAGACTCCATCATAAAAATAATACTAATAAGGCTGGGCACAGTGGCTCAGGCAGAGGTGAGAGGATTGCCTGAATCCATGGTTTTGAGACCTGCCTGGGCAACTTGGTGAGACCTCATCTCTACAATAAATCAAAAAATTAGCTGGGTGTGATGACACATGCCTGTAGTTCCAGCTGCTTGGGAGGCTGAGGCAGAAGGATCGCCTAAGTCCAAGAGTTTGAGGCTGTAGTACGCTATGATCGCACCTATCAATAGCCCACTGCACTCAAGCCTGGACAATGTGGTGAAAACTTGAATATTTTTATTCTATTATAATGATTTTTTTTTGGAGTCAGAGTCTCACTGTCGCCCAGGCTGGAGTGCAGTGGGCTCAGGCAATCCTCCCACCTCAGCCTTCCAAGTAGCTGAAACTATAGGCGCACACCACCACGCCCAGCTAATTTCTTGATATGTTGTAGGGATGAAGTCTCACCAAGTTGCCCAGGCAGGTCTCGAACCCTGGGCTCAGGCAGTCCTCTCACTTGGCCTCCCAAAGTGCTGAGATTACAGGCTTGAGTCACTGCACCTGGCCTCCCCCACCCCTTTTTTTTTTTTTTGAGTTGGACTCTCACTCTGCGGCCAGACTTGAGTGCAGTGGCCGCTCCCAGCCACCGCAGCCTCGACGTGCTGGACTCCAGCGATCCTTCCGCCTCAGCCTTTCAAGTAGCTGGAACTATAGGCGCAGGCTACAATGCCCGGCTAGTTTTTGATTTATTTTAGAGATGAGGTCTCGCCAAGTTGCCCAGGCGGGTCTCAAACCCGCGGGCTCAGGCAATCCATTCACCTCAGCCTCCCAAAGGCACGGGATTACAGGCTGAGCCACCAAACCCAGCTCAATCTCCCCTTTTGTTAAGTAGAAAATTTCAAGACTGGGAGCAGTGGCTCATACCTGTAATCCCAACACTTTTGGGAGATGAAGGTGAAAGGATTGCTGGAGCTCAGGGGTTCGAGACCTGCCTGGGAAATATGGCGAGACCTCGTCTTTATGAGATTAAAAAATTAGCCAGATATGGTAGCATGCGCCTGTAGTTCCGACTAGTTGGAAGACTGAGGCGGAAGGATCGCCTGAGCCCAGCAGGTCGATGCTGTGGTGGCAGGGAGCTTGCCCCTGCACTCTAGGTTGGGCAACAGAGTGAGACTCCAACACAAAAAAAAGAAATCATAATACAGAACTTGAACATTCTTCTGAGGGAACTATGCAGTCAGGAAAAGGGAACTCCGGGTTGAAGTTCTGGAGGCCTCCCTGGCTGTCCTACAGGCAGGTAACTCTCGAGCTGGATGTCCAGAAAGGCAATCTGGGACCAGAAGCACAAGGACCTTCTGGTTGGACATTGCTCCTAATCAGGTCTTCCAAACGTTGGGCACCAAAATCACTGCCAATCTTGGACAATTTAGGGTAGCAAGTCCCGATGGCATTAGATAACTTTGAATCATATGATTATGTTGGGGTTCAGAAACCGATACTCAAAATATGGTGCTCTGACATGCAGAACTGAAGGAGTCTCAATGGCCTCTCTGACTTCCTTCTCCTCTCTCTTTTTTTTTTTTTAGTCAGTGTCTCGCTTTGTTACCCAGGCTGGAGTGCAGTGGCATGATCATAGCTCACTACAGCCTCGATTCCTGGGCTCAGGTGATCCTTTCGCCCCAGCCTCCAGAGTAGCTTAGACTACTGGCATGTGCCACAGTGCCTGGCTAATTTTTTTTTTTGTAGAGTCAAGGTCTCCTTATGTTGCCTAGCCTGGTCTCAAACTCCTGAGCTCAAGCAATCCTCTTGCCTCGGCCTCCCAAAGTGCAGGGATTACAGGCATGAGCCACAGCACGCAGCCCATTGCATGTTCTTTAAGCCTACTGAATTCCGTAAAAATCATTCACTACACCCCCTAAAATCATCCACACTAGCCGGGCTCGGTGGCTCGGCCTGTAATCCCGCGCCTTTGGGAGGCTGAGGTGAGTGGATTGCCTGAGCCCGCGGGTTCGAGACCCGCCTGGGCAGCGAAACCTTATCTCTACAATAAATCAAAAAATCAGCCGGGCGTGGTAGCGCATGCCTGTAATTCCGGCTACTTGGAAGGGTGAGGCGGAAGGATCATCGGAGCCCAGCAGGCGAGGCTGCAGTGGCCAGGAGTGACCACTGCACTCCAGTCTGGGCGACAGAGTGAGACTCCAACTCAAAAAAAAAATCATCCACACTTTCTCATCTCCCTTTTCTCTAAGATAACCATCACCACCCCATTGTGTGGTAGTGCCATCACTCCATGGTTCTCCCCCATGCATGTTAATAAATTTTTATGTCTCTTCTCCTGCTCATCTACCTTTTGTTAGTTTTCAGTGACCCTTCAGTAGGTAAAGGGGAAGCTTTATCTTGTCCCCTACAGTTAAAAACTTTATCCTTTTTCACTTACCTTCCAATTTTTGGTGTTCATTACATCAAGGAGAAAGTCTGTTTTGCAATAGTCTTTTTTAAAATCAAACGTGCTGAAAAGAAAAAAACAAACAGCCCCATTACAAAGTGGGCAAAAGATATGAATAGACAGTTCTCGAAAGAAGACATATGAGCAACCAACAGATACATGAAAAAATGTTCAGCCTCACTAGTCATCAAGGAGATACAAATTAAAACTACAAAGTTGGGCTCGGTGGCTCAGCCTGTAATCCCGCGCCTTTGGGACGCTGAGGTGAATGGATTGCCTGAGCCCGCGGGTTCGAGACCCGCCTGGGCAGCGAGACCTCATCTCTACAATAAATCAAAAAATCAGCCGGGCGTGGTAGCGCATGCCTGTAATTCCGGCTACTTGGAAGGCTGAGGTGGAAGGATCACCGGAGGCCAGCAGGTCGAGACTGCGGTGGCCAAGAGGGGCTACTGCACTCCAGTCTGGGCGACAGAGTGAGACTCCAACTCAAAAAAAAAAAAAAAAAAGCTTATGCTAAATATTTTTTATGTGTGTGCTAAATCTTAATAGCATTCGTTGGTTTAAATGACCCAATAATGTTATGCAAACACAGACTGAAAAGCCTCTTTGAGTAGATGCTCTTTTAGAGTTGTAAAGTTTCAGCATGATGCTTGCAAAGTGTCCAAACGAGGACAATACAAGCAAGCTGATGCGCAACACAACCCACCCCATTAGACATGGGGCAACTCATGTGTGAACTTACTGGCTCTGTGTATCCTCTCCCGAACTTCCATGTACTCCTGCTCATGCTTCACAGCAGTCATCGCCACTGCTAACTCGTTGATCATTTCTTCTAGCTTGTTCTGGTGAGCTACGGAAGAGTGTGAAAACAGATTAACACACATCTGGCAATATCTTTTTGAAAAATACTTATTAAATTTTTAAAAATACTCCTCAGAGAAGGTATCCAAAAGAAGCTATTTCCTAAAAAATGGCCCAGACATCAATTTAGAACACTGATATGAGCCACCAGTGACAATTTAATCCTCAAAGCATTTTTAAAGTCCATTCCTAGTAGGGAAAAACTCTTTCAGGGCAGAAAACAAACTATACAATACTATACAATGCTTACTAACTAAAGAAAGACAACCCTAAGAAACTTCTTCTACCGAATTGCTGCTATTATGTGAAGTTCACTACACTAACTAGTAACTACAGGGGAGGGGAGGAACAGAGAGCACAAAACATGTATATCTTTCTTTTCTTTTCTTTTTTTTTTTTTGAGTTGGAGTCTCATTCTGTCGCCCAAGCTGAAACGCAGTGGCACACACACTCACGGCCTCCCCAGCGTTGACCTGCTGGGCTCCAGTGATCCTTCTGCCTCAGCCTTCCAAGTAGCCAGAACTACAGGCACACACTACCACGCCCAGCTAATTTTT